CTTCTCGAATAATGTTTATATTAACCGACTTCTTAAGCCCCGGTAAATTAGAGAGCTCTGCTCGTCTAACAAGCCTTCTAGGCCATTCAGCTTCATCTCGCTCCAGCCACGGAACATTCCACCACAATGAGTGATGAATCAACTCTTGAGCGGTCACACCTCGTGACGCACAATCTGCCGGATTTCTTTCCGACGTAACATGTCTCCAGGTGATCTTCCTTGGAGAGTTCTGTATATGCTGTACTCTGTTACATTCGAACGTCTGTAATAAATGTGGCTGCGTCTCCAACCAAGCTAAAACGATTGAGCTATCCGACCATGCATTTAAATTATTGATCTTAATTGATCTTTCATAACACTCCGCTACATGGTTAAGAAGTTGACACACTAAATGTGCTGCATTTAGTTCCAATTTCGGAATTGTCTGTCTCGTTTTCATAGGCGCTACCCTCGATTTCGCTATTACGAGACTAACCTTGACATTTCCCACTTCATCCTCGCTCCGAAGGTAAATAGATGCCGCATATCCTGCTTCAGAAGCATCTCCGAATCCGTGAAGAGTGTATGATACTGCATTTGATATTACGATACACCTCGGTATTTTCAGTGTCTCCAAGTGTAACAGATCCTGAATCATATCCTGGTATTGCTCTACAATTTCATCCGAAACAGCCTCGTCCCAGTGTAACCCATCCAGGAATATTTTCTGTAATAAATTCTTAAACCTTATTATTACTGGTGTGCAATAACCACACGGATCATATAACCTCGCTATAGTACTTAATATTGTACGCTTCGTTACGGCCCTGTTTACAGGTACATTCAGACAGTATGACATCGTGTCTGAAGTCGGTTCCCATTGTATTCCTAACACCTTTATGAAACTTCTTGAATCAGTAGTATTGAATTCCTTTGGTTGTTCACAATGATCCTCCGGGAGGTCTCTCAATAACCGGGAGTCGTTTGTAGACCACTTTCTAAGTTCGTAACCCGCGCTTCGCATTAGATTAATTAACTCTGCCTTCAAAGCTTCCGCTTCACTAATAGAGTCCGATCCAGTAAGAATGTCATCGACAAATACGTCGTGTCTTACGACCTCACTTGCCTTCGAGTTAGGATGCTGCTCCTCCCATTGTGTTGCCAGTTCCAACAATGTTCGTATTGCGATATACGGACTGGACCTTAGTCCATAGGTATTAGTATTTAACTCGTATACCTTAAGTTCCTGTGATGGATCGTTCCTCCATAGTATCAATTGGTACCTCCTGTCCTCTGGGTGGATCCAGGTCATCCGGAACATCTGCTTCACGTCCGTCGTGAATACAACTTGATGTCGTCTGAAATTCATTAGAATTTTGGTAATGTCATTCTGAAGTGCTTCACCTGAATGTAGGCATTGGTTTAATGAAACACCAGTAGTCGTTTTACAACTACCATCAAATACTACTCTGAGCTTATCAGAGTCCCTTTTAAATATACCGTGGTGCGGTATTACGTAATGTTCAGCGTCGAACTGAAATTTCGATATAGACATATGACCGAGTCTTTCATAGTCGTTCATGAATTCCTTGTATTTGGCTGCAAACACTGGATGTCGTTCCATTTTTCGTTCAAGCGCGTAGAATCTACGCGTCGCAGTATCCAATGAATTACCCAGTTCCGGTTTGTCAAATAATAAAGGTAAACGTACCATAAATTTTCCGTCTGGTTGCCTCACCGTAGTAGTTCCATATAACCTCTCACACTCTTTGTGGCGAGGGTCCATTGGTTTTTCGGTCGGTGGCTCCTCCGACGTCCAAAAGCGTTTGACGGCTTCAGTCAGCGTCATAGTGTTGACCGGCCGGTGGTCTGCAACCTCGTAGCCGTCCACTGGTCCCATGATGGCGTGCCCAAAACACGTTCCATAAGCTGCTGCGCCATCTGTTCCGATATTTACTTTAGTGCCATCGAAAATATAATTTAATACATCAGCTCCGAGTATCATATCTACCCCTTTTGGTAGAGAAAAATAGGTATCCGCTAGTCTCAGTGTGGGCGGTGCCCGCTTCAATATACCTTTTGGTGAAACCCCCTTCACCGGTAATTTTGCAGTGACTTCCTGCATGACTACTGCGACAGTGCTAATTATAGGAACTCGTTTATCTATTGGCCTAATAACTATATTAACCTTACTGGACGGTGTTTTCACCGTATTATTTCCTATTCCGATTATTTCCATAGAGCTCTTCTGTCGGTGTAAGCGAAGCCGACTCACCAGAGTCTCTCTGATGGCGGAGACACTTGCTCCAGTATCTAAGAGTGCACGGGCCTCCTCGAAGTTGCCGTTTATATTCCTTATACCTAATGTCACGGTGGGGTTGAGACAGTTTCTAAAACCACAACCGACCGTGTATGCGTTCGCACCGACAGGAGCTAAACTTCAATATTTATATTCTTCCAACGGCTCCGGTTTCGGAAGAAAAGTAGGTCGTCCATACCTGAGTTCTTCGAACTGCCGTTGGGCCCGCTGGTACCTGGCGCCAACGGTTCTTGAGCCCGGTTCGAGCCTATAGTGCTGCGGCTCCTGCTCCGAAGTGCGCTGTTGCGTCGCCGACGCCCGGTCGTGCTCCACTGGACTGGTACGCCGTGGGGGTGTCCTCACACGTGGCGGTGTACTCAACCGCGGCGGTGTCCTGACCCGCGGCGGTGCTTGCGGATTCGTTTCCGCGTGGTGTACAGGCCTCGCCCGCACGTCTTGTGCGCTCCTTGCTACACTGTCTGCGCACAGGAGAGTATGATGGTGACCGTAGCAGCGTCCACATCTGGCACCCTGGGTGCATTCCCGTGCGAAGTGTTGTCCCAAACAAACAAAGCAGTTTCCGTTGTTGCGCACCCACGTTTTCCTCGCAGACACTACGAGTCGCTTAAAGCCGTAGCATCCGGTAATTGCGTGCCCCAAAACAGTACAGTAAATGCACCTTACCTCGCCCGCTGCGACGGTTATGTAGCCGTGAGCTTTGTTCGAGGGTGGTGACCGTCGGCCCCCAAATGGTGTCACCTTGCGCTGCGCAGTTGGCGACCTCCGTTGTCCCGTTGACATGGTCTCATCTTGTTTCGGACCCGGTGATGTGATAAGCTGATGCCGGCAAATCTCATCGAGCAACTCCATCAGCGACGAGAAGGTTGGTAGCTCCCCGGCGGTTGCCCCGCATCGCTCCTCGAACTGATTCCTGAGTCTCGCAGGCAGCTTCTGCATGACGAGAAACAATAATAAGTATGACCATTCTCCCACAGGGAGTCCCAGTTTCTTCAACGCCTGGGTTGATTCCAGCAACGGATTATAGAAGGTCTGACGTAAACCCTCTAACGATGTCGGCACCGTAGGCAGTGACACTATCTGCTCCAGATAGGTGTCAGCCAGCAACCTTGTATTTTGGTAGCGGTCCCTCAGAAGACCAAGAGCTACCTCGTAGTTAGCCGCGTCTACTGGTAGATGCTTTACCAGGGTTAATGCTTCACCCTTTAGGCAGCTGCGGAGGTAATAATGTTTCTCCGTCTCCGGCAGGTTAGGTCTGTCATGGACCAATGACAAAAACAGGTCATAAAAACTTACCCAATCCCTTGGATTACCACTGAACTGCCCCAACTCGATGAATGGCAGTTTGGCCGCGACGGTCTCTCGCGAGCTACTCGCTATCGGAAGCGGTGCTGACGGTCCCATTTCGAACTCGTCCACCCTGGTCTCGACAGCGACCAGCAACCCGTTGATGGCGGAGAATTCTGCGTTCAGCGCCTCGATGTCCTCTGCACCACTTGCGATAAGCACTTCATAAGCCTGGACAAACTCATTATAATATTTGTCAAACTGTCGTTTGACGACCCGGACAGCTATAGCTGACGTAGTGTCATCTATAGATTTCGCGAAATCGCGAAGCATCTTCGCCTTTACTGAAAAGTAGTTTCGCGCCGATCTAGGATCCATTTTCCTTTATATGAAAGCTAGATAAAAATAATAATGATAACGAATCAAAATACTCCCCCCGAAAAATACAAAAACCAAGGTTAAATTAGTACAAGATTAAATCTAGGACAATAATACGTAACGCGTCGTTGGTATCAGTACTTAAACTAAAACTTATTTTCTAACAAGATGCCTAACCGCTTCGATCGCAACAATGTAATTCTTTATATTAGGTACAACTACTAGCAATAATAAAATGCCAAACCGCTCCGATTACAACAATGCAACGTATACTTGTTGCTATAATTCTAACTAACAATATATTTTACTCCTATATCATTGTACCTAAACGTTCCGATTATACGTTTAATGTAAGCAAGCTTAATTAAAGTAAAAACAATCCAACCTTAAAATCAATTCCACAAATTCAAAGTTACCTACCTACCGTTTACAAATAATAATATTGCGTTCGAACTAGGGTTTCTGATTTCTTGACCTGTTTTTGTTCTCGAGCTTCGAGAATTTTCGAGCCCAAATTCTCGAGTCTTCTCGAGTCTGGAGCTTTTCTAAGAAGACCTTTAAAAAATCCTTAAAATTTAAAATAAAATAAAAAAATCACAAAATCAACGTATTTTTACTTCGTCAACTTAATCAACAAGAAAATACTCATAATTAGTTGTCTAGCTAGCTAAGCTACTAATTACTAGTAGGAACTAAGAAACAGTACGTAACTATTACCATGTAATCTTTTAATCATTCATTGGTATTATGAGCACAGCACTAGCTTAAATTGAGATGAAAACATAATAAATCTTTTAAAATAACCATAAAAATAATCAAATCTTAAATGAGGTTATATTCTAAGCTTATAGGTTATATTCTAATAATTTCTTGAAGGAACTAAGAAACAGTACGTAACTATTACTATGTAATGTAATATTTTAATCATATTCATTGGTATTATCAGCACAGCACTAGCTTAAATTTGAAATTGACATCACTGGGTGAGTAATCAAAAAACTAAAAGTGAAATATAATCAGATCTAAAACAAATAAAAAATTATCTTAGGAAATACGCTTTTAGGAAAACCAGAGCATTGATGGACTCGTCTGACAGTCTGTTTCTTATTTTGGTTACTATGTTGCCGGCTAAACTGAAAACTCTCTCATTTTCAGTTGAGGTCGGCTTCACTGTCAGCAACGCTTGGAATAAATTCTCCAGGTTAGGTGTTCGTTTTCCTGTAGACTCCAATATGCTGAACTCTTTCTTGATGATATTTCTCGTTATTTGAGCATTTGAACGTTCCACAGGAGCGCTGTCAACTTTTTGAATGGCTTTTTGGAGCATTGCATCAAACGAACGACTATCTACTTCACCATCACCAGTCTCGTTTTCACAGTCTGTGGCTGCTTCTGAACTGCTCGAAAACAGTCGGTTGTATAATCCTTCGGTAAAGCTTATCAAAGCCGTTTTACTGATGTTATTGACGCTTGTATATGCTGAGGGATCGTGCAAATACTTGATCAGTGAAATTAAATTCACGTTACGCCTGCCTTCTATCTTGGTGTTGAGATTTTCGAGAAACCGATTGGCCAAGTTATTTTCCGTTTCCATGGACTGTAATTTCTGAATCAGCACGTTCAGAATAGCTTCAGAAGTCAGGATCGTCGCGTCTTTTCGGGAAAGTGCTTCTACTGATAGCTTTACTGGGTGTAGTACGTCTAGCAGTAATTGCAAGACACTGATGTTTTCTTCGTGCCATTTCGACATCATGTTTAGGTCAATCAAAGCCTTCTTCAAAGGATTCTTCAGTTTTAAAAACCTTTCAATCATTTCCATCATTGAGTTCCATCTTGTTCGTACATCTAGAATTAAATTAAGCTCGTGGCCCATCTCTTCTTTAACATACTTTTGCAAGGTTATGTTTTTTAAGGGACTTTTACGGAATAGTTTAACCAGTACCCTTGTATCTTTCAGTGCTTTATGGATATTCTGAGAATATTGCATTTGCATATCTGTCGTCTCATCAGATTCGTCTTCGCAGTCATCATCATCGTCGCTTTCTTCTGATTCTGATTCATGTCCATGATCTACTCTCATCCTGCTGTTGGAAGGAACATTTTGTTTTTCTTCGTCGTCATTGCAGAATGTGGCCACAACCGACAGGTGAATAGCGTGGTTGTTGCAAAGAACCATCTCCGTGGGGCTTTCACGTCCGAATTTGATCATGACGTTTGGTCCGTCAGAAGTTACAGCCACAACGTCATGTTCGAAACTCAGACCGAACTCCTCCAGACGTTTTTCGATGATTTCTCTTGTTTCATTGGCACCACATCTTCCAGGAATCAATACGAGCCCCAAGTTGTAGAATTTTCCGCCTGTGTGATGCACGCAAATATTAAAATATCTACGGTTTCTCAAACTCGTCCATTCATCAATACTCAGACTGAATCTAGCCGCATGACCATCCTTAAGCTTTCTTAACTCGCGAAAAGAATCAATGGTTTCTTGTTTCTTCTCAGCATAATAATTTAATATTAGCTTCATAACATCAGACTCATTGCTGGGTAATTTGAAGCCTTTGTGCTGAATTGAGTCTCGTATAAAGTCGCTTCTTGTGATTTGCCGTATCGATAGCCCATCTTTTGCGGCTAGGCGTGATATGATTTCGCCAAGGGTCTCCTGCTTTTGCTTTGTATAATTCAAGATAGTTTGGACCGCTGATTTAGATTTTTTAACCTGAGTAGGCTGGATCTCAATTATATTATCATCACGTTCACATGAGCTGGTTGAAGGTTCAAGTTCATTTACAGATCTAAAATATTTTTATATTTTTTCAAAGGTACTTTGATTGTGCTTCCTCTGCTGCCTCCTGACCATGAACATTTGCATAAAAATTCTCTTGTGAATAATAGATTTTCCCATGTTATCCCATGTCTCTCTGCAGTAGTGCACACTACGGAATACATTTTCATCAGTTTGTTTCTTTCTACTGGATCCAATAAAAGTAATTCTAAGTTCTCTAAATCATTAATGCTGTCGATTGGTTTTAGCTTGAAAGAAGAATTTACAGCTGCATTTCTGGCATCTCCTAAATTGACAACAGATTGATCAAGATGGCGACTTATTGTTCTTGTAATGGCTTTTTCAATTGTTGTTTCTATTTCAATTATGAAGTTGCTCAATCTGTAGGAAAATTTATTTTGCATATCCATGATTTTGTTTTGGTTTTCCGTAATTGTATTCAGTTTGTGTCTGTCAGGCTGAGGTGGAATGACTGGTTCCGAATTTGCTGCTATAGCATTTGGACTTTCTATAAGCCAAATAGTATCTTCTGCTATCGGCTGCTGCTGAAGTTGTGTTACAGCGGATGAATTTGGTTGTGAATGGATTATCTGAAAACAAAGAAAGAGCGAAAATTTAAGTTGATTTTAAAAGCGAATGTCTGTCGCCCTCATGTCTTTATTCATAGAATATATATCCTATTAATATTATAAAGGCGAAAGTTTGTAAGTATGGATGTATGGATGTTTGTTACTCTTTCACGAAAAAACTACTGGACGGATTTGGATAAAACTTTACAGCAATATAGGTTATACATCAGAATAACACATAGGGTACTTTTTACTGGGAAAACTTCTCACTCCCACGGGATACCGACTTCCACGCGGACGAAGTCGCGGGCGTCCACTAGTAGAATATAAGTATTGCAGAAATAATAAGTTCAAGTGGTTTGAAATAAATAACAACCCTGTGCAAAAAAGGAACTGATTTGTCGTAAAACTTAATTTTTAATTTTATTTATAGTTTTTTGTATAATAATACTTCATTCGACATATACCTAGACATACGGACTGTAAAATAATCAGTACCAAATATTTAGGAGGTTATGTTACAGCAAATTCATGTTAGCTAATAAAGTCGAAATGATCTGAAAAACACTAAATCAACTTCATATACGCAGTTCGAATTATACAATGTGATAGAGTGGTACTTTTAGCTCGTTAAGGCTAAGTACTACATTTTAATTAATCGACAAAAAAATATGGGGGTCCAACCCTATAATTTACGACCTTTTTAAAACTTTTTTTCCAACGCTGCTTTCAAATAAGTGCAAATTATTAATTATTTTATGGGAATTAGTTTTGAGTAATCTGTGGAAATGAAAAATAATAATTCAAATCCGTGATGTCAGATAGAAATCGTATGACGGAAATCGGATGCATTGCGTTAGGGAGGTATTCCACTTATCAAATATTTCATCCAAAATCAAAGAGATTGGACGATTTTATTAATAAATCTATTCATAAAGTCTTAACTTGGACAAAGATCTTTGATGAGTGGAATATCACCCTAAGCTACCATACAAATAGTTTTATGGCTACTCCGCCCCGGACCGTATTTTGACTGATACGGATCGGAATCGCATCGGACGTAGTGCATAAGCGCTTGTCAAATTACAAATTAGCTAAGGCTGGTAACATACCTATCGGTCCGGTCCGTTTCTGTTCTTACTAGTGTTGCCGCGTGATACTATCGATAGTCTATCGATAGGCAACAATAGCAGGACTATCGATCGTACTATCGATAGCTTGGAACGTACCAATACTATTGGAAGAGTGCAAGACTATCGACAGTTCTAAAATTGTCCCTATTTGTATTAAAAAAGCATTTCTGTGTGGGCGCGTGAATTATGAACCACAAACATATATATATTTTCACATCTAACCCCCCGCTCATTTGCACTCAAGACAAAATCAAATTGATACTTACCTTATGATAAATTATTTATTTTCAATGAAGACATCTCCGCACAACACAAATGCACTGCAATACACTTAACGAAATAATCAAATCGGACATAAGTTTCGATAGCTTTTTTCAAATAGTTTTATAGTAAGAAAATAAAACGTTCATCCTTAGAATAAAAAGTAACTTTGGCATTGTTATTCAAAAAGATTTTTAAAAGCTTTACTAATGTCAAAAAAAAATGCTTTTTACATTAGAGTGTCTGTCTTCAATAACATTATAAGTGCTGGTTAGCAGCACTAATAATATTTAATAATGCTCAAAGCCGTATTATTTGGGGCCCAAATTGCTCTTTTAAGACACTTATAAACTTTTATACGGCTGATATAGTGCTACATATGCTGCTCATATACTGCTTTGCACATAAGTCCATGCTGTTATACGCTTCTTATAATGTTGTTTTGTGTTACTTGGGTAATAGAGGTGTTCGCAACGGCTAAATATTGATAACGTTTTATAACGATACGTTATTTTTAAAACACCTATTATTTTTTACGCTATAATATATTAGTTGATATAAATCACTTTGCTGGAACTACAACGACGCATTTTGTCGTTTGATTATTTATTATCGTCGTGAAACACGCCGTTCCCTGTTACACATTAAATAATTGGTTGGGTGTAATGGATATTTATACTTAACAATGACAACACATTACTGCTGTGAGCGTTTTATTTACATAAAACAAATTTAAGGATATAAATTCATTGAACTTTCCTTCGTACTTTTAACAGGCTTAGGACTGTCTGACAGAAAATTATGACTTGAAATATATTGAATATATATTATTTAAGCAATATATATTTGCCAGTTTACTTACTCCACTCAGTACATTGTCAGGCGTACTTAAAAGTTCATTGATTTTATATACAATAGGTATTTACAAGTTATTTACAAATAGAATTTTATATACTTACAATACGTATTTACAAGTTATTTACATTGTTTTTATTTACACATAGATTTTTTTAACTAAGTACATAAATACAATACACTCGTATGGTGCAATATATACACAATATTCACAAAATGGTTATATTAAAAGTTTTTATTGCCATGGAGGAACATTAATTGAGCTACTTTGCTCGACGTAAGCCTCGTACGTCGGTCATTAATTATATGTCCTGCCTTAGAAAAAGCTCGTTCACAGGGCACTGATGTAACAATTATATTAAAATATTTTACAAATATGGAATACAAATACGGATATATCGATTTGTGCCCACGCCACCACTCAAGAGGACAACTTTCCCTGGATATGACGAACTGTTTTTGGTACATCTCCACTTCTTCTGTTACTTTAGTAAAAGTGGAGCGAGGTTGTTGAGATGTTGATATTTTTTGCTCTATTATATTCCATAGAGAAAGTGCAGGAGTACTGCTTTCTGGATGGTGTTGAGGTTCATCTTCGCTAATAATACTACAAATCTCATCTATAATGTACGTTTTAGTAGATTGCAATGTTTCATTGTCTAACGCGAAATGTTTAAATCTAGGGTCTAGAAACGTACACACAGTAATATGTAAGTTCCTAGTTATATTTGCAAATCTGTGTTTTATTCCTAAATTTATTGTCTTGGCTAATTTTTGGACGGGTGTATAATATGTAATATTTGTAGCCATTTGTTCGTAAATATTAAGTAAACCCTGCGTAATAACAATTGCTTTACTAGCAGTCAAATAATTTTCTGCACTCATAATTAACGTAGCTTCATAAAGAGGCTTTAGAATTTCACAAAATTGTTCTAAGCATTTCCACTCTTGGAGTGGTATTATAGGCAAATCTACATTTAAATTAGGCACTGTTGCCCTGATGGCTTCCTGTAAATGTATGAAGCGCTGCAACATTAAAAATGTTGAGTTCCAACGTGTTGGCACTGACATAATTAATGTCAATGCACTTCCTTCAGCTACACCCTGGGAGTTAATCTGATACTTTAACAGCTTCTCTTTTGCTAGAGAGCTACGCTTAAAATGGTTTACTGTTTTTTTTTATTTTAGTTATAGTGCTTTCCACTTCGGGAAGTGCAAGGGCATTTTGCGCTACCAAATTTAGCGTGTGGGCGTAACATCCGTAATGGGGAAATCGTAACAAATTTGCAGCACTTTGCATGTTGGATGCGTTGTCGGTGACAAAAAAATTAATTTTACCCACCAGATTCCACTCCTGTACCGCCAAACTAATTGCTTGCGCAATATTTTCACCCGTGTGAGTTCCCTCTAGTAGACTGCACTGTAAAAGCATAGATTTAAATTCTAAGCTGGTTTTATTTATAAAATGGCCAGTGATAGCTATGTACGGCTGCATCGTCCGAGATGTCCAACAGTCTACCGTTATACACATGCTGGTACATTCTTTATTTACAACCGATTTAATTGTTGCTAAACGGTCTTCGTAGTCACGCAACAACAGGGTCGTCGACAGGGTTTTACGATCGGGTAACTTATAATTGGGGTTTAACCCATAAACAAATGATTTAAAGCCCTCATCATCAACGATACTAAAAGGCTGGCAATCAATGGCTATCATATTTAATAATAATTTATCCAGGTTGGTCTTCTCAGTGGTTGATAGGGGTCTAGATAAATACGATGCCATGATCCGTTGCTTTTTTGGCGGATTTTGTGCTGAGGGACCTGGACGAGACGACGATAATAAACCCCCATCATTACACGGACGAGACTCGATCCCACGACTATTACCACCAGCAATACCATCACCATCAGCAATACCATCACCACCAGCAATACCATCACCACCACCACCGATTCCACCACCACCAGCACAACCAGGATCCACACCAGCAAGAGCACCGGAGTCAGCAATTCTAGTACCTAAGTACAAAAAATAAAGTTTAACAGAAGAAATAAATATGAAAAATGTATATTTTTAAATAGGTACCTATTGGAAGCAAATTCGAATGATTTATTATTTAACTTACCGTTCTCATTTTCTTTCCTGCAAATTTCTTCATAAACTATTAAATGCTTTTGTTTCAAATGGTTTTTTAAATTAGAAATAGTAGTTTTAAACGACAGAGTCTTTTTACAATAGGAACATTCCGCCTTTTTGGCAAGTTCGTCCACCACAGAAAAATAATTCCACATTTGTCCTTTTCGTGGCATTATAAAATATTTACACAACAACTAAGTATCTAACAAATTTTTTACACGAAATATAATACACACACTAAACTAAAACGAACTTTTACGAGTATTTGCAATTATAAATCAATAAACGCATAACACACAAACTACGTCAAGCGAGTAATCTGCACTGACCGTTTTTTATTCAAAAACCTAAAAAATAATCGTAAACGATCAAAAATCAAAATTCAAAATATATTAGTTGCACTTTTTTCAATACTGGAATTTTATGAATATAGTTCTTATGTGGTCACCTTAGAGCATAATTTCTAACGAGTATTATACGACGAAAAATAATCGTTATTTATTCATTCCTGGACATTAATTTGAATATAGATCTTAATAAGTGGTCTTAAAGCATAATTTGGCAGGTGACAAAAATATTCAATCACAGCAAAGTGAAGTTGGCCTTACGTTTCGTTTCGCGCAGTGTGCAAACGCTCGATTGTGTTCATAATTTCAAAATAATCGTTTGATTTAAATAACGCTTGCCAGCAGTAATAAATAATAGGCTATATGATTATTTATCAATATTAGATTATTTTATCAGCGATCTAATATAACGAACATCTCTATTGGGTAATAACAGTTTTATAATTATAGGTAATCAATATTTATATCAGATATATATCAGACTTTATATTATAATCAATATAAATCCTCAGCAACAAACAAGAAACATTTTAAGTGAACAAACAGAAATCTTGGTGAATTATTAAACGTAATCTTTTTAGTGTGTGTGTAAAGCTTAATTCAAATATTATTATCTAACCGATCCTTGAATATTGCTAAAAAGGAAAAATGCGAGATATATCTTTCAATTCGATATATTTGATGGACCATTAGTAATGACTCCAGTAACTTCAGCAGCTGATGCTGAAATTGTAGCTTTGTAATTATATTCGTTAAGTAATGTTGATTGGCTTATCAAAAATGCACACCGAACTTGAATTTGTTGATACGCTGAAGATAGCAAATACCTTTGAAGATACGTATGAGGCAGGAACATATCCCACGCTCCCAGTGGCTTCGTGTCCGTAAAATCTATAAAAACCACAAAATCCATACCCATGGAGTCTACTGTAGGTGTCGTAATAGTGGAGATTGAATCATCAGAATCGGAGCTTTCTGTTTGGATACACTCGTCCTCTTTAATCTTTTACCGTTTACGCCGCCTTTTCCCCATAATTACTTGCAAATATGTCTAAATGCTGGCGTGCGGGAGTTAATATTAAGTAAAATACGTAATTAAATTTTAAAAGACCGCCTTTTCACTTCGACAGTTCCCGCGCTTTTGCACTTATACATATGCCATACAGCCAAGACAAAAGAAGATTCTTCTATCAATATAATGTTTCTCTTGATTTTCTATTTCATTTTATTTAATTATCTTTAACTGTATTTTGAATAAATTTGTAGAAGATAAAATAACACTGGGGATTTTTTAGAAGTTTCGGTAACGCAGGCGGGATGTTATCTGTTTTCTTGTATATTTCCAACAAATTATTGGTTAAAATCATACGTTGTAGTAAGAAGTGTGAACATTCAAAAAAGATATGACGCAATTTTTTTTCCAGCTGTCACTTCTTCCTCTTTTTATTGTCAGTTTTTTTTAGAGCCTGGGTGTAAATGATGGAGGTGCTGGTCACAAACGCTGGTGGTAAATACGTTGGCGTGCGGGAGCTGAAGACACTTTTTTAGTAAATTAGAAGGGAAAAAAATTAAAACAGCATCAATTGTCAGCCAATTCTACTAACCTTGCTTTATATTGATTATTTACTTCCTCTTTTAATGGTTTCGTCGTAAATACCTATTTCGTTGTTAATATCTCTCCCTTTTCAGGATGTTTCACTTTAGTCCATGGTTCATTTTTCTCAATAGAATATATTTCTGTTTTCATTGCTTCAATCCAGTACTGCCTATCGTCACTTTTTTCAACTTCATTTACAGATTGTGGTACATTTTCAACAGTATGATATAGCATCAAATGCCATATATAACCCATAATCATTATACCTATTAGGTACTTTCCTACATCTTTTCTCTATTTCCTGTACTTGCACTTCACTGTGCTCTTTATCCAATTCTTAATTTTCTTCTCTGTTCATATCTATTTCTTAGTTATCATTTTCTTCTCTAATTCTTATTGTTTCCTTTATGCAATTAGTTTCCTCCTTGTTATTGTAATCAATTTGTTCTTTACAGTATTCTTTATAATATAAGTTGTCTTCATTAAATATAACATCCCTTGCGTTAATCACCTTTTGTTCTATTTCATTCCATAGTATGTAACCTGTATTAGTATATCCAATCATAACATACTTCTGAGTTTTTGAATCAAACTTGCCTCTGAATTGTCTAGGCACATGACAATACGCTATTGAACCAAACACTCTCAAATTTGATATATCTGGTTTATTACCTGTAAAAATTTCAAATGGAGTATTATCACGGACACTACTTGGGCTTCGGTTAATTATGTATGCTGCTGCTTTGATTGCATGACTCCAAAATTCTTTTGGCATGTTAGCATCTGCAATCATTGTCCCTGCTTTATCTACTCAGCTTCTATTAAATCTTCCAGCCTTCCCATTTTGTTCAGGGGTATATGGTGTAGTGTAATCTATAAATGTACCATTGCCCTTACAAAAAATCATAATTTTGTTGCAAATGTGTTTCATTACCATTATCACATCTCAAAGTTGCTATTTTCACATTTAATTTTGATTGCATTATATTCACATACTCTTTGAAGCATTCATACACATCACTTTTCTTTGCGATGATACATACATAAACTAAATTTGAATAATCATCTATGAATGTGACGAAATACTTAAATCAATCATTACTAATCGGCGTTATAAGCCCTGCAACATCTGTGTGAACTATTTCAAGTAATCTGTTTGCTCTAGTCCGATTGCCAAAACTTTTTCTAGTCAATTTACCAGTTACACATTTTTCACAAAACTGAATATTACTTATATTAAATTTGTTTATACCATTTACTAAATTGTTTTTAATTAATTTTGATAAGTTACTAAAGCAAATATTACCTAATCTTTTGTGCCATAATTCCTGTTCTTTGTTATAAGATTCAACATTTGTGCATTCTCTTATGTTTAATTTGAATTTTATTTCATATAAATTATTTCTGTAACCAATACAAACCAACACATTCTTATTATTGTACATAAAAACTTTACCATTTTTAAATATTATCTTATTTCCTGATAATTCCATTTTCTTTACAGACAACAAGTTATGTCTTAAATTTGGAACTAAAAATACATTTAATGTATTGACCATTCACTTGACTTTCTACATTTATATTACCAACTCCAATTGCAGTCATGAAATTATTTGTTTTTGCTACAGCTATATTTATTGAGTTCTTTAAATACATAAAATCACTAAAATATTTAAATCAGTACACCCAAAATATCTATATAAAATAAAATTGAATCATTACTCACAGTTGTATCAGTTAAATTTTCATTACATGCATTAGTCATAAAACAAAAACCCTTTCCGACTGCTTATTTTCTTCTCCTTCTGTCAGGTTAGCTCGTTTTATGTTTTGATTTTGAGATGGTCTTCCTCTAGGTTTACCTCTGTTATTACCTCTAAACGGAGTAAAACTGCCTTGAATAGTTATTATCACTGCCTGATTAGAATTATTATAATAATTTCTTTGTAGAAATCTGCAATTTCAATTTAAATGTCCAGGTTTTCCACACTTATAGCATACTTTAATTACATTATTAGAAAAAGCTGATGTAATATTCTGATTACCACTCTCTTCTTTTGATTCTCTCAACGCTCCTCTTCTTTCTATTTCCGCTCTCAATCTAGTCTTTGCTATATCTAAAGTTTTAATCTTCTGTAGGTATACTTTCCAAGATTGTAGTAACCGTCTCTAAGCTTTTAGGCATAGCTAATAATAAGTAACATATAATTTCCTGCATTTTCAATTCGACGCCACATGCATTTAGTTTTCAAGTCAATCAATCAATTGACCTGTAAACCCTTTCTTCTCATATCTTTGTTCTAAACTTGACCACATCAAATACGCGGTATTTTTATCCCGAATCATGTAAGCATTGTACGATGTATGACTTGCATTTCTTTTCTTTCAATTTCAATTCTGTTGCATTTTTGCTCTCACTTAATTTTGCTTCAAAAGTGTCTTCTATACATTTTAAACAATCTTTTTCTTCCGATAGTGAATGCATATAAAACTTCCATGTGTGATAATTTTCCCTGTCAGCAATTCAATATTATAAATATTCATTTTCGTGGCGTCCATTTTCTTCTTATAATCGCGTCTTCTAGTCATAACCTGTAGTTTTCTGTGTGATCTTTGCTCTAATTCAAGAAATAAAACTATCCAATATGTCTTGATAATCTTCTTGTATTTTTGTTTATAATATTTACGATACACAGACCTTATTCTTATTAATTTTATAAAACAGTATCTACACCAATGAACACTTTAATAACTCCATATCAGGCATGACACAATGTTGCCATAGACAAACATTATGTTATAAAGCATAACTCTACAACAAATGTCATTTCGTTGCGGCGGTAATGAATGTGTTGAACATTGCGGTAGCTCTTGAAGTAACGATGGCGGTGATGGAACTGGGGCGTTAGTATCGTATACCAACACTTTGGTTCTAGGCGTTTCGTAGTCCGATTTTCTCATCCAATATTGATCTTTTACGTTAGAGGATATCGTAGACTTACAGCGTAGTTTTCGACTTTTACAAGTGCTCTGTAAAAGCCTAAACTGAATAAATAAATTTGTTTTTGATTTTTGATTACGGGTGCTCCCTTCAAGTTCTAGGTCAGCCAAGTCAGCTTCAAGCTCCATTTTAATTAAAGACTTCTGAATTTCCGCCTTATTTGTGACTATAGTCTATTCAACTTAATCTGAGACAAAATGTAAACAAACA